GTAACTATACATATTTCTACATGCTGAAAAGTTCTTGGTTGGACTGTGAATTTGAACTAAAAACATGTTTGATCAGGCCAAGAACATCTCATCCTCTTATAAGTAAAATTTACTTCCATTTTAATGAGATGGATATCACAAATAAAAATGAAACTTTTTTCTTACTGAAATCAATCACAATACACAACATTCAAATACAATGCAAAATAAATGCATGCAAAATAAATTCTTTTAAAAAAAAAAAAAAAATCTCCATGCAAACAAAAATGACAATAACAATAGTACCAAAAATGACTCCAAATAAATAGAAAGTAATTTCACGCCAAACTATAAATCAGGAGGAGAATTTTAAACAACCACATATGCCAATAGATTTAACGTTAAAATGAAAAATTATTACATCTCATTGTGGTATGAATACAGTTTAAATTTTAGTTTAAACAGTTTCTGCAGAGTTCAAACCTCAAATGTACAACTGGATTGTTCATTATATTCTTATTAAGTTAGGTACAGAAATTTGGGACATTCATTGTTTCAAAAACAAAACATCATTTAATATTTTTTGAAGAGGCATCACAAGTTACCTGGCAAACAAACCAATATCAAAGTTGAGATATTGGGTATCAGTACAACATAGCTCTGATAAAATGAAAATATTTTTTATTTCTAGTTCATTCATAAGTTATTCCTTCCTTTTATTTCCTTGTTATTCAATGATCATAGGAAAGCTATTACTGAAAATAGTGGAACATCCTTTTTACAAATAAAAGGCTTCTACATTCTTATCACATGTGTACATAAAGCCAAGTATATTTTCGGAAGCCAAGTTTCAGCATCAAAGTCTATTTTTTCTAAACTTCTCTACTGGAAATGGTCACTCAAAGGTTAACTTAAAAGAATAATCATAGAAAAGATTCCTCTAAAAGGAAAGAGCAAAAAAAAAAAAAAAAAATTCACTGAAAACCATTTTTTGCTCTTGAACTATTGTGGTTTTAGCAAAAATTAAAACTGTAGGTTGAAATCACAGTATTTCCAAAAAGCTAACCCCTCTCGACATTACTATTATTTCCAGTAATATTTGAAGTAAACATTACAAATCTTTAAAAAAAAAAAAAAAAAAAAAGAACAAAATGTACCCTGTGAAAATGTGTATTTATCAAGATGTAGAAGAAAGAAATAAATAGCATCACATAAGTCATGTGTAGGTGTGAATGACAAGACTACAAAACTTTCCCACACCTTCTGCTTCAGTTACAGACAGACAAATATTGGAACCCACTGCAGATATATTCACAACACAAACAAAGAATATTTAAATTCCACCCCAGGGTAAATAAATATAACTTAAAAACAGATATAGGATTTCTAGATTTCACCTCAAAGTCTTCAAGAAACAGATGGAAGGGAATAGGCTTCTTTCCTTTCTTTCTTCTTCTCCCTCCAAGACTTTCTTACAAACCCTTTTTTTTTTCTTTGACTATTGTTACTCAACTCCCACAGTTAAGAATTCAACAAATATCAACATATATATTTACAATTATTATGAAAGTTTAAGGAAGGACTAACCTGAATTCAAAACTGTAGAGAACTCCTGACAATTCTCACATATTAAAAGAAGCTGTGGAGAGCCATGATTGCCTATACAGTAAAGAGGTATAAAAAAAAAAAACATGGAGAAGAATACTTCCATTCATTTAAGGATTAATTTCTAGCCAAGATCATTTCAATATAAGAATAGTGATATGGCTGGCAGGACAAAGTGGAAATTAAAAATTAATTATATATGTACAATATACACTTATAATTATCCATTGGCAGGCAGTGAAATAAATGCCATGTGGTTATAGTCTCACTCCAACACTAGTGAGATCTATTACAATTTTCCAGGACAAGAAAAAAAAATCTTTCTAATAATCATTCTTGTCTGTATAAAATGACAAGTACTTAAAAAGTATAGCTGATAGAACCAGTAAGAATAAAAATAAATTATAAATGATGTATTATTTTGACAGCCAGAGTTTAGTATGTTATTTTTGTTCCTAAATCTATGTATGCATGAAACTCGCACTTTCAACACAGCCTTGTGCCATATTCATGTTGGTATACAAATACCTCTTTTTCTGATAACAATATAGTGAGAATTTACTATTTTCTTCAGCAAATGAAAAAGTAGGACAGAGCATATAGCCCAAAATACAAATAATTAACAGTATCTGGTGGTGGATATTAGTGAATACTCAACTTAGTAGAGATACAACATTGGTAAAAGATCCCAATACTAAAGATTATGGCAATATCTCAGCAGTTGTTACAACAGAACAAAAGCAAAGGAAGAATTACTTGGTGTTTTACTAATTGGGTTGGATATAAATGTTTCAATGCCAATTTACTTAAAATTTTTTATTTACATAAATGTTATTTTCATAATTATATTATTTGTATAAATAATAGATTAAGCCTTGTACCAGAAAATAAAAACCCTTCCCCACCTGCACAAATTGGTGTAACAGTTTTGATTTGTGCCATATATTAACATATACTTAATAAATATGTATATATTACTTAAACATAGTGAGAGAAGCAGTAGTAAGAAGGGACTTAAACAAAAATGATTAATAACAGCTGCCATCATCAGTGTGTTGAAGTACATTTCATCATTCACACTGGGAATTTTTATATGGAGATGAGTGTTGCCTTGATATTTATTCTAAGTATCAACTTAGAGGCATATAAACAAATGAGATGCAGTAAAATCAGTTTAATACTAAGACAGAAGATCAAGGCATTTAATATTGTCAAAGTACAAGATAGTAAATTATTATTATTATTCCTAGGTGCAGTCTATATTACTAACCCAGGCAAGTGCAAATCTGGTTGATATTTTTTTATGAAAAGCAAATTTAGAAATAGGAAATATAAAGCAAAAGACTTCTCTCTCATGAGATCAAAATGTTTTGAACAGTTAATCTTCCCTTTACATCAATTCAGTACTTCCATATGAATTATATTCTACTACTTAATAGAGTAGTTATTTAGGCAGTCCAGAATTTCCCATCTGTTTTTATATTGTTAGAAATATGTAATAAATTATTCCCCCCAATAAGAATTTATTTCAGTTTTATATCTTTTTCCATATGGACATGACCTGTGCACATAGGAAACAATCACAGGTCAAACAAGAATCATTACATAAGTGATAAAAACAAGTAGAAATATTGACTAAAATAAATGCAAGTAGTTTTCCATAAATTAATCCTTTCTTTGCTATAATTTTGAGATTATTTCTAATTTAATTTTTTTTTAAATGAGTTAACAACACAAAATCCAATAGAGAAAGAAAAACTAATTAATAAATAAGCACATTTTGGTTGAAGATTTGCATTTATAGAATTTAAAGCTATTTTTTAAAGCAAAAGCATTTTTAATGGTAATCAAGACTATTAATACATTTAAAATGTATTTAATTTTCAAATTTTAACTGAATATCAAATGAGTTCCATTTACAAACAAGCATTTTCAGTAAATTTGCTATTTTTTTAAAAAGATATTAAAGATATTAAATTTTTTCAAGCACTTCATTAATTAGAACTCATTTAATAGAAAAAGTCTACCATGTTAAAGTTGATAATTATTTTAAATACAAAATGATTGAAAGGAATGCATACCAATCATAACTAAATGTCAAATAATAAATAAATAAAAATGTCATGGGGCATGGAAATTACTGCTTTGCTCTTGACATCTACTTTGAATATCAGATACTTTTTCATTTTTGTGGCAGGAAGAGGGAATTTAAATCAAAACTGACTGTCACAGTATAAAAAAACATCAAATTAACCATACATACAAAAATGCATACATCAGAAAGGGTAATATATTTTGATATTAATACAATAATATTTAAGTAAAATATCTAAATCTTACGAAATGTTAGCCCCTGAGAAACAGAATTCATATTCTACCAAAGCCAGCTATTTTCATTGTTAATTCTACAATTAGTATTTCTTTCACCTTATGGTTAGTTTTGAACTTCTGTAGCCAGTTGCCTTCATTGTTTAATTCATAATATTAACACAGGCTTCCCAAAAGAAAGAAAAAAAAGATGAAAGAGTTCAAGTCTTGTTGGGAGCTTATTCACTCTAATGCCTTTTCCAGTTAGGAATTCAAAGTTTCCTTATTTAGACTGGTAGCTGCCTAATGTTCAAGGCCAGTCTACTCTGTTATTTAACCTATAGCCATGAAAGTGAGAGCTAAAAAGTAATCTTAACAAGCATCCTGACACATAATAAATTTATTTATAACAACTTCAGTGATTTAAGTGTAAACATTTCATACATCCATATAAAGGTTATAGAAAGGTTGAGCAACAAATATTGAGTAATATATACACATATGATGAGATACTGTAAAGTTCTTAGCCAAGCCCATTTCCCAAAAATCAATATGCTTGTTTGGACATTTGATACCGATTTTTGGAAGTGGGCCAAGTCACAGACTTTTCATCCTCAAAAAAAAAAAAAAAAAAAAAAAAAAAAAAAGTCTTTTTACAGGATGAAAAGCATGGACATTTATGAAATTAAATTTCAGTACATTATGATGCTGAAGACAAAATGATAATGTTACAAGATTAAAAATTTTTAGGAGTGTAAATAAAATCAAAAAAATAAAATTGGAGTTTTTGGTACAATTTGGTAATAACATTAAATAAAAAAATAAAAAATAATGAAAAAGTGAAAAAGAAAGACAAAATGGAAATATCCCTCCCCCAAAGCAAAGCCAAATTGCAAATAAAAGTGCAGAACTAAAGACAGTGGTATGACTGTAGTCATAATCTGCTGCGACCCCCAAACATCTTTTATTCTCTTGGTGGTTCTCAGGCAGGCAGTTAGGCAGGCAATGAGATGAGCAAATATATAAGACTTGGCTTGTTTGGATCCACCAGGGCCGAGCAGATGACTGCAGGCAAATAGTAAAGGATGAGGATAAGCGAAGCAGCTTACGTGACAAACTGGTTACTGTTGTTGGTGGTTGGCTGAGAGTAAGTGGGGGACATGGGATCATACCCATTTAATCCCCGCTGCTTTACCAGGTTGACTTCATCCTCAACTTTCTCACGCTGCTTCTTTGACATTCGACCAAACTTCACCGCTGAAAGCACAACATAAAAAACTGCCAAGTGGGCTTATTGTTCACACTCAATGACAAAAGAAAAATAAAACAAAGACATTTTAATGACAAAATTATTCTAAGATATTAATATTTAGCTGCAGAAATTTAGAAAAACAGGAAATTAAAATATTATAATAAAAAAATTGTTATATAATGTACATTAGATATTTACATGCTATGAACTAAATCCATGCATTTATTAAATATGAATATGTACAATAATGTTGTTCATTCGTCAACAAAACTAATGAAGAAAAATCAAAATCTAAGTGAATTATCTTTGTTTTAATTAAAATATGCACATTATTTCAATTAAATTCAGTAAAAATATGCATAAAACCAGGCCAGTGAGTACACAGGAAAGAAAAAAAATGTTGAACAAAAAAAGTAAACAATTTTCATCACACTCCCCTCTACCTCAAGAAACAAACAAGAATTAATAAGCCAAATACTAAATACTAGCAGATATTTATTTTCATATCTCAGAAAAGATATTGCAAATGGCATAAAACAGCTGTTACAAGTGGCTTTCAGAATGGGCCGTTTTGGCAGAACAATGTTCAGTTCTGTTGCACATTGAACTGAAACTATTTTTTTTATATTTTCCTTATTGGCAAAAATCTATTTAAAAAAAGAAAAAAAAAAAAGAAGGAAATATAGCTATAAGAATATTAAGACAAAGGTTTTAAATAAAAACCACTTTTATGAATGGATTAGAACACCTGATTGACACCATAAAAGCATAAACAATATTCTTACAATTCTTTTGAAAATGATTTTACTATGAAAACTTGTATTTGCTTTCAGGTCACTGAAGTCCTGTTAAGACTATGCTATATATACATACAATGTAGTACATTTCTTAAACTTAGCTTTGACATGAAGCAACACTTGTGAAGTATTTATCAAGAATAAATCCTTCAGTAGTAATGTTTTGTGAGACCAGTTTCCTATTTATTATGCCACAGCTAGACATCAATTTAGGTAATATAAATCAACTATTAACCAATTAAAAAATAAAAATGTTTGAAAATTCCAAATTTTAGTGAAAACAGTTCATACATTTCTGTCATGCTCTGACAAAATCAGATATCCAAGAAAGTTAGTACTGAGAAAAATGAAAAACTCTTCAATCAATACTTCCAAGAAATCATGCACTTACCCGGATTTTCATAAAATAAGCTCAGTTTCAGAGACATTTTTTGAACATATCATATACATGGAAAGATAGAGTTTTAAATGAACCGTTTTTGTTATGCCTCTCAGTTTTCTGAACTTATCTGATTTTACCAGATCTATTGACAGATTTAACAAAGTGCAAGGTAAAGTTCAGAATGCTTCAGATAAATGAGTTAATACTTCTTTGTCACTTAATAAACCAAAGTTTGTTTATGTATTTGTAAATACACAAATCATTAAACAAAATTTACAAAATTCAAATAAACAGTATTACTTCAATTTTTCTTTTAAATGGATGTTTTACTGTCAACTAAAGCAATCTGGCATATTTTAAAGCCATTTCAACAGATTCAGAACTGTATGGCAAGACTCCTGATGGAATTAACAAACATTTCAGTTGCTAAATACTTTGAAGGTTATCTATATTCATTAAAAACTAGACATAAAAAATAATTCATGGATTTTAGATAATTTTTTTCATTTGAAAAGCAGAATTTGTATACAAATTTAAGTTGTTAATCTAAATTCACAAAATTTTCTAAAAACATCAAAGTTGAAGTATGTCTCTAAAGTCATTTAGCAGTTTTATTATCTAATTAATATGTTCTATTTTAATTCTGAACTTTTGTATCAAGCAATCATTACAAATTATGAAAAAGTTCCCTATACAAGTTCATTACATCATCTAATATATATATATGTGTGTGTGTATATATCAGAACAAATAGATAAAATAAAACACTGATTAAGACCAAAGTTAATGACAAAATGGAATTCTGAACTGTAGTATGAACATATGCTATACATGTAAATAACTCAAAGAGACATGAAAATTCTATTTCTGCATAAACTAAGATATACATTTGTTATTTTGAATAATCTCCTAGGATAATTTTTATTACAAAAGCTGATCAGAAAAGTAGTCAAAAGTGTATTTATCTAAAACAAAAATCATTTTGATAAATGAGCGTTTTCAAAAATGTTCTTTTCAGTTTAATATCAGTCTTTACAAACCAAACATACAAAATGGAATATAAAGACAAAAAAAAAAAAAAAAAATGAAATCCCTCTTACAATTGCTAAGATATATCAGACTTACAAAGAAACAAAATACACATGGTGAATAACATGCAAAAATACTGAACAAAAATGATCAAACAAAACACTATATATAATCAAGAATTCAAGTCAAATGCAAGCTAAAAACAGTTGCAACTATATGTAAATGCAAAAACAAAATGGTAGAAAAAGATTTTATTTTTTTCAATTTTGTTCTATTTGGACTAGCCATAATGGCAATATTATTGTTTGTTGCATTAATTAAAAACGACAGTTTTATCTATATGCAATATAGAAACACAAATAATTCTATTCAGTGTACATATGCTCTGCAAATGAGAACTTGCTAACTTTCAAATACAGGCAAAAATCCTAAAATGATTTATGGCAGAATCAATGCAGCCTGGGGAAAATCTAGATAATTAGTTGGAGTTAAGAGATATTTTTATTCTATCATATAATCTGCTGACTTCAGACAGACTTTCTGCATACGAAACAAAACTATCTTATTTTTTTAAATATATTTTCTTAAACTTTCTCATACTAAAGAAAAAACAAATAGTTAAACATACCAAAATTCAAGTTAAATATGGCTTGTTTTTCTGCTTCCATTCCTCACTTCATCTTACAGAAAAAATATTTTTCCAGTTTATATATCCCCAATTTTATATCATTAAAAACAAAAAATAATGAAAACTTGATAGCAATTTGTTCTAAATTACAATTATTGTTTTTTAAAAAAAAAAAAAAAAAAAAAAATTAAATCCCACTGTTTACATTTTTGGTGCTGTATGAAAAGTAATAGTGAAAATTATCTGGTTACATATCAATTGCATTAGTTATACCATAAGCAAAATATTGAATTTTAAGAATAATCATTGTTTTAAAATCATCCATGTAAATGTATTTTTAAAAAGTCTGACATGTATGACCTTTTACATACTTAAAATTTAGGTAAATTTACTCCTATATAAAAATTATGAGTGATGGTGTAATGCTTATTGAGATCACAGAATGCTTCAATTGGGGGATTTTGATTGTAAAATTATGTAGTGAAGAAGGAAGCATAAAGTACACCATTTGATAAATCAAAATTTTGGTGGCATAAACTATGAACAATTTTAATACTTTATGTTAAGTAATCTTTCAATAAAGCTGCTCTATAATGATCAATTTCCTGTATGACTTCACTTCTAGTTCTGATATTAAATTAATATATCACTTTGCAAAGTTTTATGCATGGAATCTACATTAAATATGAAATAAATATATATATATATATATATATATATATATATATATATATAAACATTATTTAAAAACTTACACCATAATAACTACATTAATCAATTTAACTTGTACAAGTGTAAAAACAATTTAATCTTCCTTCTAAAAATTGCTAAATTGACACACTCTTCATTTGGTTGAAAGACTGTTGTAAATGCAAATTAAATACATGTTTATTGCTTATGCTTCTCATTCAAAACATCTGGAAAATGTAAATTATTTAATTCTTGCTCACCTCATAAAATTAAAGAATCATATACTGCTGCAAATATTATTCCTTATCCAACAATATTTATGAACAAAAGTTTTATTTCAGATTGGAATTTAGAGTATACAACGTATGTGAAATGTATTTTCATAAGTGTTTTACTGCTTCTTGAAAGCCTGTACTCTGCTATTGCCAAATCATGTGTGTTAATAATCTGCTTTGTCATTACCAAATTGCCATTCAGCATTTAAAACACATTCACACACACATATATATATATATATATATATATATATATATATATATACCTGCTTTCTCAGCCTGATGGGACCTGTGAACATGTATTTTATACTATATATAGACACCAGTTGTGGCATAATGGCTACCCAAGTTTGCCTCAGAGATCAATTTACAAATGTAAAGAGTTCCATATTCACTGAGTGCCCCTACTTTTGTGACTGTGCTCAGCTAAGCTTAATAAATAATGAAAGAGCTAATAATAAAATGACAATCAGCAATAATGATTGCAATGCATATCATTAATATGGACAATGATGGTGGGTCTGGAGGGACAAATTTACTTCCAAAATATATTAAAATGTCTTGATATTTACTGCTGATTATTCTCAATGAGGTTATTCAATACTTTGTTTTAAAGACTAAAAAAAGTGTCTCCTTTTAATTATAAACCGTTTTCCATCAAAATAAATATATTTAAATATATATCTATCTAAAGTTTTATTCAAAATTAATCTTCAGAGAATAAATGTATTTGCTATGTATGTGTGTATATATATATATATATATATATATATATATATATATATATATACGCACACACATATATACACACTTCAAATGTTAAGTTTCTTCAAATAGAAATCTAATTTGTCACTTTTTTTCTTTTTTTTTTATAAGCATAGCAAAATACTGAGATGCTACTACAAAGATTTTAATAGACTCCATATATTCCTTGATTTAAATTTGAACTGGATTCTGATATATTCTACTTACAAATAATAATCTTGGAGAAGTCAAATCTTCAATTCCATAGTCATAATTTGTAATAGCCTCAACAATAACGAAACAGTATTAACTAAATATTGATCGTGGCATTTTCAATATTTAATTGAAGATTATAGTGTACACTATCATGTACTAATACACACTGCATTATATTACCTGCAGAAGTGATCTCCCTTGGAGACACATTAACTAGAAAGTAATAGACAAACACTCAGCATTC